TATATATATAATCATTGCATACCGCATTACTCTCATATTTGTAATCTTATTTATATATACTTTATTAGTTTTTTTTCAGTGGTATGATTTAGTGGTGAAAATTGTTAGTGCCCCCCCAGTTTTGACTGTGGTATCTTATGTGCCCCCCCTATATATTGTTCCTAGAGTTGCCACTGCTTATCAGTGAGCTTAAATATTAGGAGGGCTGTACAGTCTTTTCCATTATATTTTAGATCAATTTGTAAAAGAGATCAGATTGATGTAAATAATCTTGTTAATGTTTTGAAAAACCCTTTTCTAGGTAAAGTTGCAATAAAATATATACATGGGGACAGCCATATTTGCTCAATACAGACTCAGACTCTGCTTTCTAGTAGTGCTACACAATGGTTGCTCCTAATTGATCTTTCCATAAATGTACATATGCGAGTTGACTGCCTCACAGAAAACAAGTTGATATACAGGTACCTGGGGGTCCTTGCTATGTTGAGCTAGTGATGGTTTAGCATTTCCTGCCTACAGGGCTTACATTAATTGAAGCTTACAATTAAATACCAAGCAGTTGCTAAACAATTAATCAGTGTGTAACATTTGTGTTTATATGTATCTTAGAAGAGGGTTACCTGAGAGTGAGTTTCATTGTCCTGTAGCTGTGATTTCAGTTTTTCATTTTCAGAATTCTGCTGCACATTGATCTTCTTAAAAGTATCTCTGCGTTTGTTTAAAATGATCCTATCTTCTTGAAGTTTCTGAGGACAAAGGAAATACATACACTGACTTAATATTGTATCTTAATTCGTAAAATAAAAATACTGTGGGACTGTGTAGACTAATAAGATTTCTATAGGTTCTACAAAGACACTGCTATAAACCTGGCAGCAGACTTTACCTAGCTTACCACAACAATCATATAGCCGTAAACTTCACAGATCATTTTATGAATGTCTATCTGGCAGTGACTTGTGGTACCTCATATTCCGAGTGAGGCATTCCCCGCCCGACGAAGCCCCACCCCTACCGGACAAAGCCCCGCCCCTACCGGACAAAGCCCCACCCCCAAAATCTTGTTAATGTTTTGAAAAACCCTTTTCTAGGTAAAGTTGCAATAAAATATATACATGGGGACAGCCATATTTGCTCAATACAGACTCAGACTCTGCTTTCTAGTAGTGCTACACAATGGTTGCTCCTAATTGATCTTTCCATAAATGTACATATGCGAGTTGACTGCCTCACAGAAAACAAGTTGATATACAGGTACCTGGGGGTCCTTGCTATGTTGAGCTAGTGATGGTTTAGCATTTCCTGCCTACAGGGCTTACATTAATTGAAGCTTACAATTAAATACCAAGCAGTTGCTAAACAATTAATCAGTGTGTAACATTTGTGTTTATATGTATCTTAGAAGAGGGTTACCTGAGAGTGAGTTTCATTGTCCTGTAGCTGTGATTTCAGTTTTTCATTTTCAGAATTCTGCTGCACATTGATCTTCTTAAAAGTATCTCTGCGTTTGTTTAAAATGATCCTATCTTCTTGAAGTTTCTGAGGACAAAGGAAATACATACACTGACTTAATATTGTATCTTAATTCGTAAAATAAAAATACTGTGGGACTGTGTAGACTAATAAGATTTCTATAGGTTCTACAAAGACACTGCTATAAACCTGGCAGCAGACTTTACCTAGCTTACCACAACAATCATATAGCCGTAAACTTCACAGATCATTTTATGAATGTCTATCTGGCAGTGACTTGTGGTACCTCATATTCCGAGTGAGGCATTCCCCGCCCGACGAAGCCCCACCCCTACCGGACAAAGCCCCGCCCCTACCGGACAAAGCCCCACCCCCAACCTAGTGTGAAGGAGGAAGGGAGGAGACAGGGAGGAGCCCCCCTGTCCATCACTAACTACCTGTCAAAAGCCGGATGCAGCGCTGCCTGTAATTAACAGGCAGCGCTTCATCCATGACAGGTTACAGAGCAGGGAGGATTTCCCTGCTCTGTAACCTGTTAGATGCCGATCTGAATGGAGAAAAAGCTGTCAGCTTCAGACTTGAAGCTGACAGCTTTTTCCTCCATAATTCTAGCCTCCCCTGACCACACGTCACTGCTATCTGGATAATATTCTCATCCTTTTATCCAGTGAGATAGAAAAGCATGAAAAGTAGAATTAATTAGGAAGACCTTGGTAAAAAACTTGGGTCTGCAGAATCCCAGTGGTACCACCATATTTGAGGAAAAGGCAGGTGGATCATTTAATTTAAGTGTCTTGGTAACTGCTTGAATGAGGGTCACCATGACCTCCTTCTTGACTGGTGAAGGAAGCATCCGACAGTAAAAGGAATGAGAGGAATCAGCCACAGAATCCTGTGTAGCAGCCAAGAAGCAGCAGGAGAATGAGAAGGCCAGATTGGTCTAAGACCTTAGAAATCTGAGACACAAACTCCTCCATTAGCTGGGGGTAGTGACTAAAACACAGAAAGGCCAGTCACAACCACACCCAAAAGCATCACAGAATCACCCTTGGCAATGCCAAACCTAAGGTTACAAATGGTGCAAGCAGAAAACTAGCAGAAAAAAGACAAACTAGTAGCTGCGTGGTGACCAGGTCTTCACAGTGAGGTATTGACCTTGATCCGGGAAGAAACTGCACCTATTGGCTTCTAGGGACACTATTCAGGATCTTGTAACAGTGCATGAAACTGCCAGCAGCTGCCTGAAAGGAGAATCTTATGAAGACTAATCTAAAAAAAAGAGAAGTCTCACCTCCTCAGGACACTAAGCTACACTGAGCTCTCTAGCATGTACAGCGGTATAGCCACAAGAAGGCAGCAGTATACCCACAAGTTAAACATAGTAGCTCTGTGTCCTCCAATAAATGCTGAAGTAATAAACCCTTTTAAACATAAATTCTACCTACCTAGTTCATATAGAATTTGCTCTATGTCACGTGTTATTATTGAAAGTTGTGACTCGAGATTATTTTTTGAGTTCTAATCCTCCACAATGTGTAAATGGTTAAATTCAGTGTTTATTTTAGTTGCATGGTTGCGAGATAGGGTTAGGTGCAAGGAACAGGTTAAAGTTCAGAGACTTGTGTTTACACATTTTTTTTCTTCTTTTTTTTAACTTTAGTACCATCCATTTTTCCTTCACTGCTGACCAGTTTTCCAGTCCCTGCCGTTGGACAACCTTCTTCCATGTGCTTGGAGAGTGTGCAGCATCCTGTTTGCCAAACTCTGATCATTATAAAGTCCACCAGCAATTGCGATCTGGGAACGTTATGCCTCTTTGAATATGGAAGTCAGGTGAGTGCGGTGTGTTTCACAGTCACAGGGAGTTAGCGTACTACATCTATAAGAAGGACTTATCACTGATGGTTATTCACATCTTGTCACTTTGTTTGCATCAATTAATGGTGGACTATTTATAATTATCAATTTGCACTTAATCTCTACTGGAGATATTATAATGAGAGACACGTTTTATTATTTATGAGTATTTATTAACTATAATGGTTATACGTTATTTATTTGATATTTAGCACTTTATTATTCATGTATTACGTTTTTATTGGCCAGCAGGGAATGACATCGCTCCTATGCATGCGTATTGGAGTTGATTCATTCCACCACAGAGAATGTTACAATGAGATGCACTAAATTTAGTGTCATTATAGGCTATTTCTTGGTAGTGGTACAAGCTGCTCCTTGACAACTAGTGCCTTCCTTTCTTTCTGTATAGGTCTGTTTCAGGAAAACACAAAGTAATTATGTGTTTAGCAGAAAAAAATGGTAGTTTTTATAGATGTTATATATTTATATGTTACATATTCATATTTTTTTTTATTCAATTTTACGAAGACACACTTCTGGTTTCTATCACATCCATAGTCGCAACACTATATAAATCCAGTGACATGTAAACCCAGTGAAATATATGAGGATCAGAAGGACTTTTTTTTTTTTTTTTTTTTTAGAAATGCTAGTTTAAAAATAGATTAAAAAAAAATAATTTTTTAGCAATGCTAGTCTAAGAATAGATTTAAAACAAATCAATGTTACTTGCAACTGAGATGTCAGTGCTGGTAGATCTTGGTGCCCATAGCCATAGTGCCTGATAAGGGCAGTTTTCCAGTCCCTGCCGTTGGACAACCTTCTTCCATGTGCTTGGAGAGTGTGCAGCATCCTGTTTGCCAAACTCCAAATGAGTATTCTTATTTTTCTGTTTTAGCAATGGCTTTTTTTCTGTCCATTCTTCCATAAAACCCCATTCTGTGGAGCGTGCGCCTTAAAGTGGTCCTATGAACAGATACTCCCAGCTCAGCTGGGGATTTTTGCAGCTCCTTCAGTGTTATCTTTGGCATTTTTGTTGCCCTTCTTGTCCAGTCTGTGAGTTTTAGTGGGTGGCCTTCTCTTGTCAGGTTTGTAGTGCTGCCATAGTCTTTCCGTTTTGTTATAATGGATTTAATGGTGCTCTATGGAATGTTCAAAGTTTGGGATATTTTTTCTAGCCCAACGCTGATCAATACTTCTCCACAACTTTGTCTTTGACCTGTTTCGAAAGCTTCTTGGTCTTCATGTTGCTTGCATAGTGGGGTTGCAGGCTTTCAGAGCAGGGGTGTTTATACTGACATCATGTAACTGATTATGTGACACTTTGATTGCCCACAGGTGGTTTCATAGCAAAGAAGGTCAATACTTATGTACACTCAATATTTCTGTGTTTTTTTTTAATCTTAATTATTGTTTTTGTCACAATAAAAAATATTTTTCACCTACAAAGTGTTAGGCATGTTGTGTACATGTTACAAACCCACAAAAATCAATTCTAATCTAAATTGTAATGCAATAAAACAGGAAAAGCACAAAGGGCAGGAGAATACTTTTGCAAGGCAGTGTATGTGTGTGTGTGTGTGTATATATATATATATAAATATAATGTATTTTTAGTGTAATTGGAATATATATTATAAATACAACTCGGATCATACAAATATGTCCCCATCAGATTCCATAAAAAGTGGAGCAGAGCTAACAGAGTCAAACCATTACCTTTTTCTTTTCTTCTGCAGAGGCTCTAAGGGCATCCAAATCACTGTACGTCTTTAATCCTTCAGACATTTGCTGTATTTTCTCCTTAAGGGATGTCAGCTCACTGTTTATCTTGGATTCCAGCTGCTCTACTTTCTGAAGATCTTGTTGTAAACGCTGGCTCTCTGAGACAGATATTCACTTCTTGAGAACACACACATACATAATGCAATACATTTGATATAAAAACTAAACATTTATGTAACTATTCCCATTCCCTGTTTTGGAAAGGTATAAGGAAAACTAAGCCAAACATTATTAAACTGTATTCTGTCAACATTAGACACAAGGCACTTTAAATGTAATAAATTGCTTTTTCAGTGAAAGCTGTTCTCAGTATGGGGATTTGGACCCTAAACCTAATTCACCTAAACTCTTTAAAATAATTGACAGGTTTCCATCGACCTAAACCGTAAAGTAAACGCTTAAGAAAAATCTTAAAGGAAACATGTCAGGAAAACAAAAACTGCACCCACCTCCGATTGAGTGTGCACCTCTGGTGCATACATTTACCCTTATCATTGATCCACACTGCTCCAATCTCCAGGAAAAGCTCAGATACTTCATTGGGAAATGTAACCAGCCCCCCTTCTCTGAAAAATGCAGCTTTTGGAGACTGAGCAAAGAATTGCCAAGCCTTAGTACTGTCACATTCTGACAAAAGGTGTGCCAATACCATCAAATACTGGCTATTGTTGGTGATGCCAGAACCATTTCAGAAGTTGGAGGACATCAAAGTATCAGAGAAGCTATGGGATGGTTTAGGAATTGGATTGTGCATAGCACAGAATGGAGGGAGTTTTTTTATTTTTTTAAAGTTTGTTTTAACATAACCCTGAAATTAACCGTAACACTGAACCCTAAATGTGAAGGATCTGAGATTGCCATTCTTAACCTATAGCCTAACCTCGTAAACCCTTGCGTTAAGCCCTATCCCCTGACAGCAATGCTAAACTGACCCTTAGCACAAAATTTAAGTCCTAAAAAAAACAGTGTCTCTCATTATAATATCTCCAGTAGAGATTAAGTGCAAATTGATAATTATAAATAGTCCACCATTAATTGATGCAAACAAAGTGACAAGATGTGAATAACCATCAGTGATAAGTCCTTCTTATAGATGTAGTACGCTAACTCCCTGTGACTGTGAAACACACGGCACTCACCAGACTTCCATATTCAAAGAGGCATAACGTTCCCAGATCGCAATTGCTGGTGGACTATATAATGATCAATTTGTACCTAATCTTTACTGGAGATATTACAATGAGAGACACGTTTTATTATTCATGAGTATTTATGAACTATATTGGTTATATGTGATTTATTTGATATCTAGCACTTTATTATTCACGTATTATAATTATTGATTCGCGCAGTGCATCTGTTTGATCTAATTTATTTATAAAAATAGCACGGCAGCTTTTCATTTTTTATTTTTGGTATTTATTACTTTGAGAGAGCTTCCATAGCGCAGCTATAGCTAATCAAAACGGCCAAAGACACAGCAACCAGAACAAGCTTGGTGGGGAGATGTCAGCGTCATTGAGCAAGAAGAGGTGGGTTAGATTCTACTTTAACATCTAAGAAGGGAGGAGAAACACTTTAATTATGAGCCCATGATTGTAATACACCCTACTTGTGCTACAACCATGTAAGGTCTGGGAATCTTTAAAAAAAAAAAAAAAAGTCTTGAAGCTGTGCAAGTCAGGCAGAAGGAATTATCAGTATTGCCTATGGGCATTGCCTATCTTTCTCCATCACTGACTTAGCATGTCTAGTTGTGCACTGTCACAAATGTTTATAGTGTCCCATAGGCTACACAGCCAACTTTTAAGGGCTACAGGGGGTTGCTTCCTTAGAGCAACACAGGAATACACTGCATCATCTGTTGCTGTCACTACAAGCACGCTTATTACTTTGGTCAGAACACTGTATGGAGTGCAGTTTTGGACAGTATTGTTGGATTGTTCTGCATTGTGTCTTTGTGTGGAGGTGGCCATTTTAGGAGACACAGGACTTTGCTTGTCAGAGCCTCCAGCAAGGAGAACAGTGGAGAAAAGTAGTGACATCACCATATATCACGCCAAATGTCTGGAGACTAGCAGTCACAGGAAACAGTGCCCTAGTTAGATCTCGCACTGCAGATATACAGCTATGAGGCTAGGCACACTCACATGCCAGGAAGTGATATTTCTCAGGAAGAATTCAAAACAAAAGGTACACTGAATACTTCTAGACATTTCCATTAACACCGCAAACCTTCACTTTTTTGAGTTTCGGTCCACATTAATAAAATAATGTCCATGCCATTTGCCTAAAGGATCCTTATTTTTAGCCATGTGACTATTATTTTCAGCTTTTATTGGATGTCATCGCTGAAAATACCGGTCAATATGGCAAATAACAGTTGTTATGGCTTATTGAATGTAGCCTAAAGTGTGAAAACCATCAAACATTTCTCACATATTACCTAGACGTCACACAACGTAAAGATGAAATAACAGTTATATACTTACCTGATCCTTAGTTCCGCCTGACTGCTAGACCGGTCCCCGCAGCCTCTTCTGCCCTGGGCTCCGGTGGTCTAAGCTCCACCGATGTCATCACATCTATGCAAGGTCCATGTAATTGCCCCAGGGATGTGCTGAGTGTTCAGTGGCAGGTGAACCCCCCCCCGGCACTGTTACCGAGCTAAGTGTGGAGGATGGAGGAGATAGAGAGGAGCCGCCCTGTCCCTCACTTGCTTGTCACTGATGAGGCATCTAGATGGACGCCGTCAGTGGGTTTTTTTTTGATTGAATGGCTTGGACCAATGGTGCTTTGCCATTGGTCCAAACCATCCACAAAGCTCAAGCCTCTGACTCCAAGTCAGAGGGTGTTTTACCTCTGGCCTCACTGTGTTAGGTTACACACAGTAGCAGGAAAACTTGCTGCTGTTTACCCCAGCAACTGCTGTCAAAATGCGGATTAAGCGCTGCCTGTAATTAACATACAGCGCTTCATCCATAACAAGTTACACAGTGGGGAGGCTTTCCCTGCTGTGTGACCTGCTAGAAGCCGGTCTGAATTAGGAAAAAGCTGTCAGCTTCAGACTTCAAGCTGACAGGCTGACAACTTTTTCTTCCATAATTGCAGGAAAGGCTCTGCCACACCTGCCTCCCCAGACCACATGTCCCTGAATTGCATTAAATGTAAAACGCAGAGGGACAACATAACACAGCTGGAGCAGAGGGGGAGAGAGGTGAACAGTCACTGCCGCAGGATCGAGGATGGGGTAAGTGTATCTTCTTTATTCCATTCCCTAGACCAAATGAGCAGTTTACCCTTGCAGTGCGGGTGTAGCTCCACTGCAAAGGTTAACTTTTGAAAATGCTGGAGATCTGCTTTCAGCTGAAGTGTGTGTTTAACAGAAAAACGTGTATGCATCCATTATGTGGGCTGAGCCAGACTCAGCCCATCAGTTTCTTAGAAAAAAGACCTGAGTGCAGAACACGCAATTTGCTGCATTGTTGTCACTAGTTCCTAGGAAATTGATAGGATGCACAATAACAAGTACTGGTTCAGCCCAAAAAATGGCTTACTCCATTGTAAACTGCTGACACTCTTAGCCACGCAATTCTGGAATCATAGCCATTTTCTTTGATTATTATAAACAATCGTTTCGTGCCTCTCCTCTCCTGACTAGATGGAGAAATCGGACAGGATAGCGCTATAATTTATCTTATTCTTACAGTGCGAGCAGAGAAACTGCAGCAAAAGGACAAAAAATAAATAAGAGCTGTAGTCAGGAAGAGGATACAGGCCGGTTCCTTTAGATATGCACTCAAGTGGCAGAAGGTGTGTACAAAGCAATTCAGCCTGAGACCAAACTTCTTGACCCCAGAACAAATATCTGAGAAACAATAGCATTAGTGAAATTGTTTACGCTGGGTAGTTTCCTCTTTCTCCAGCAGCAATGCAGATTGCTTTTTTTTTTTTCTTAAGCCATCTCAAGCCATTAAAAAGAAGTCTGAACTTCACATTTTATTCTAGTCAGTAAGCTTAAGATTATTCAGCCAATGCAGCAGAGAATTCAGTATCTATAATCTTTGTGTGTATGGGTAATGAATGATTACAAACCTTTCCAAAATTTCCAAGAATTGCAAAAAGAGTCTGCCATACAATATCCCTTCCAAATAAATGAACATACGTGAGGAAAATTCAGCAGGAAACCTATGCTGTGCAAACATTAGGTTAAATTGTATCTAAACCTTAACACAAAAATGTAATATACTGCAGCTTGCCAGTCCTTAGATGTGGTGGCTGCATTCATTTTCATTTCCCAGGCTTTTCTATTTGCAGGATAACCAGGTGAAAATAAAGAAATAAAAGCCTGAAAAAAGAAAACCAATGCAGTCACCACAACTAAAGAGTGGTAAACTACATGTTTGTATTTGGGTTTATAGACACTTTAATTGCCATTATCATTTATTAAAGAAGGACTATGGTATATTTGCTACCACAGTAGTACCACTTGTGTCTGATAGCTCTATGATGCAGTGACTACTAATGCATCATCAATAATGTTCTAAGGATACCCAAGGTGTAGGGTGTCCCTTAGGAAAATGAGCAGTCCAAACCTCAAACTGTTGGGGTGCCTTGCACATCAAGAAGCAGAGGATTGCAGATCATGATCAGATCACAGTGGGTTAGTTTTTCCTTCTTTTTTTTTTAAGGGGAACTTTTTTGTCCTTCATAAACTGCCAAATAAAAACAACAGGCTATAAACCACTGTAATGTTCAAGTGTATTATTCTTACCGCCTGTCAAATTCTTCGACGTGCTCTGTGACTTGTGCATTTCAGTTTCCTTAAAACTAAGATCTTCTTGCATGATTCTAAGTTCTTGAGCGGTGACAGAGGAGATTTGTTTCATTCGATTTAGATTCTGTGTAAATGAAAATAATGCTAATATTAATAACGCATTCATTGGAAAAAGAAGCATCATAGAGAACAGTAAAAATTATGAAAGAAAAGGCCATGCACACACAGCATTCAAAGTAAAAAAAATATTTGAAGCACTGCAATGCTTTGGAACAGGCATTCTTATAATTTATAACAAAAGGTTATCACTGCTCCTAAAAAAGACCTTACTCTGCTTGAGTGTTCCAGTAGTGTGACAATGTTTGTTTCTATCTCTGACTTGCGTTCCATTTCCTGGTTCTTATTTTCTTCAAAAGTGGAAAAAAAGTCTGAAAGGCAAAATTATATACCTGTGAGGAATGATAAAAAACAAAGCAACTTTAACCGCTTTCAGTCTTTGGGCATTTAAAGTAGACTATATAAAGCTAAGTACCTAGTACCAGAGCAGGACCCAGCTACCAGTCCCAGCTTGACGGAGGCTCCTGTGTAAGGTCCCATTCACACCTGAGAGTTTGTAGAGCGCATGCAAAAGCGATATAACGCTCAACAGGAGGAATCTCGTTGTGTTCACATCTCAGCTTTGTGTCCCTTGTAGCAAAAGCCTGTACCTAACCTTCTTCTGGAGCAGAGTCAAGAGCTTTGGCCCCAAAAGACACTAAAAAATGGCAAACCTGAAAAGGGTGCAAAAATGCCCGTAGAACACCTCAAAAAAACATCCAACACCTAAAGACGGTCAAGCTCAAGTATGAATGGGGCCTTAGTAAACAGTTTATAACACATATTGTTACACTGCATTGTGTTGCAGCTTTTACAAGCTCCTCTGATCCACTTCTGTCCTGAATTAGTTTCTCATAGTGTTGCTGTAATACACAAATGTTTGTACAAAGCCTTTTTATTTTCAGTTGTGTAAAACAACTTATAATGTTTTGTACAAGAAATATTATTGCCATTAGTTATTTCAGAGAGTGCCTGCCATAATTTCCAACTCTGTTTCTGTAAATTTTGGGTATTTCAGTTCATCCTATTGCATGTTGCATAATTTGGAATACTCATTGAGAGTAGGGATGCACCCATACCGATACCGAGTGATTGGGTGAGTACTCGTGCTCGTCCAAATGCTCCGATACTTACCCTGAGATTCCCTCTGACCAGCAGTGCCGCGAGGGAGCATGAGCCAGTTTTCCAGCCAATCAGGAAGCCAGGCTGCCTAGCAACAAGTGAAGCCAGCTTCCTAGCCAATCAGGAAGCTGGGTGGCATGTCATGACCCACCTCCAGGCTTCACTTGTTGCGAATCAGCCTGGCTTCCCGACCATTTAGGAAACCAGGTGGCACGTCATAACGTGCCGCCCCGGCTTCCCGATTGGTCAGGAAGCCAGGCTGTCTAGCAACAAGGGAAGTTGGCTTCCTAGCCAATCAGGAAGCTGGGAGGCGGGTCATAGAACGTAAAGTTGGTGTTCTTTCAATAGAACACCGGCTTCCCAGGCAATCAGGAAGCCGGACCGACGCTCGGCGTCAGCTCTTAAGCCAGGCCCTCAGTACCCCGGGATGCCAGTATCAGTATTCGGTATCACCGGGTACAGGGAAAAAAATATTGGTATTCGATACTGAAAAACCGGTATTGGTGCATCCCTAATTGAGAGTCACTTCATCAGGGCAACTGTCAGGCATTATCAGACGTGCCTGCGGGCCGGCAGAGTGGAGAAAACCCACTGGCAGGAAGCAGCCTGAAAGGTCTGAAGGCAAGGTACAAAGGGGCAATCCAAAAGGGGTAGTCAGGTTCAATCCGGGTCGAGGCAGGCAGCAAAGGGTCAGAAGCGGTGGTCGGTCCAAGGTCGGTACACGGAAGATCAGATGGGGGTTCAGAAAACAGGCAGTAAGGCACACAGGTCACACCATAAGGTGGAATAACTTGGCAACAAGCCAGGGCTCTGGCCAGGTTTTTATAGCCAGGGGGTGTAAGTCCACCCCCCTGTCACCGAGGCAACTAGGAGGCTTCTCTCCCCGGGAGCCAATGGCAGGTGAGAGGTGGTATGTGTGGGCTGGGAACCTCCTCCAGCAAGGCCCACACCTGAGGCCTAAATGGGCGCAGCGCAGCCTATGTATTGCGCACGTGCACCCGCCCCGCGACTCGCGCATGCGCACCAGCAACCCGGGCGCCAGTGGTTCTGCCAGGTTGGGGGGAGACCCGTACCCTGGCCGTGCCCGCTGACCCTGCAGGGAGCTAACACCCTGGTTCCCTGACAGCAACACACTGAAATCAATAAGATGACAGCCAATGAGTAGTTAATTCTCTGAGTACAATGAAGCACCTCTAGGTACCTACACTATATGCCAGCTAGCATCTCTCTTTCTCTTTTTTGAGTGTCACTTTGAGATGCCCACAGACAATAGATGACCAAACTGCGCTACATTTCAATATCTATTAACAGTGAATGACAACCCTGAATGATTGTCTTCAGGAAACCAAGCAATCAGGCAGTTTTTTTTTTACCTTATTTTGCCCATCGCAAGGTCTGTTTTGCGTCACTCCTCCTTACTGGCCCAAGACAAAGTGATAAGGGTGAATCCTGCATGTATGTCTGGCTGTTAACTAATGGCCAGCTTTAGAGTATTACTTGTCATATCAGCTACCCATCTGATCAGTAATATTGATCCATGGAGGAGCTCACAGCTCTATATTTCTCTTTTTTGTCTCGCTTATCCTTAAGGAGAAATTCACTCTTCCTGCTGCTTAGAGCCAGCATGGAACACTACAGCTGTCACACGTCGATTCTAAGCCCAAGAGCTGAACAGTCATGTAACCGCTGATCGCTCAGCTCTTGGTGACTTCTCCCTGCAGAGAGCTGTGACTGTCAGTCATTGCCACCACAGGGATTACATGATTGCTCAGCTCTTTGCTCTATTGTCGCGATCCTTCCTGGATGGGGCGTGGCTCGGCGCTAAAAGCAGATCGTGGGCATTAGCCAGCTATCTGATGATTTTTGGCCACAGGAGTACATTAGTAAATGTTTACCTGTGACTCAATAGAAAATGAAAAAGTACAAAAAAAAAAGGTAAGGCCAAAAGAAATACCAGAGTGTGGAGACGTTTGTTTACTTAACACATATCATGGTCAACTGATTATATTAAAATGTAGCTACATAATTTATTACCTTTAATTTAAAAATACTAGCAAGGAAACATCTTTATAGAATTCTTTACTGGACAAAGTTCAAGCTCCTTGGCAATGCAATTTTGTTTTAAAGACCATATAAATTCTGGATTGTGGAGGTACAAAATTTCAGGAAACAAAGAAACCTAAATTTCCTGCCAAGCTATTTCTTCCTTTAAAAGAAATCCCAACTCTCAGCGGAAGCCATATAGGTAAACAAGCGCATTGTGTGCAAGACAAATTTTGACATAGTACTCTTATTTTCAAAAGTCAATTTCCTATTTAAAATAAAATAAATTATACACATAGGAACAAAACAGAAAACACAATGCAGTGCAGCAATGAAAAATGTATGCACTAGTCAAACTGAGCTACAGACAATAAAAACCTTCTCTGTATATTTCAGACTCTGGCATCTAGCTTTTTCATATTTTTCAGTAATCTCTTAAGGTACAAATGCATCTTGCAGATGAATAATAAACTTGGACTGAAAAAGGTTGAAACTGGGCCTTGTCTGACAAAGCACATCTCATAAGAAATGTTTGAACTGTTCTATAGCAACTAATGGGATTTCAATGTCCACACTTAATGTGACAAAATTTAGTGGATATTCTGTATTATCAACAGGAGACAGAAAGCTATTAACACTGCCTGGTCTTCTTCAGAGCCGCAGGTGTAGCGCATTCTTCGCTGCAAATAGATACTAGAGTGGAACTCTTGAAAAAGCCTAGGGTGACAACTGACACTTAAAGTGATAGTAAACCCTCATGTTTTTGTTTAATTCTCCACAGGAGAGCAATTTGTACTTGTGTAGCTTTTTTTTTTATACTGCCCATTTCATTTATTTTTCAAAGTATGTCCTTCCCTCCTGTTTAGGCAGGTTGCAAAGGAGACACCCGTGCTTGCGCGCTGCCATCCGGGCAATGAGCCGTGCTGTGTGCGTCCATTGACACACACAGCACTCAACAAGCCACGCCCCCTTTTCTACCTCCTCCCAGTATCTTGACAGGCAGGTGCAGCAGCCTATTGCTGCCCTGCCTCCAGCGGCCTCGGGATCACTCCTATAAGCCTAGAACTTCAGGGACACATCAGAGATCATCTGGGAGCCGGCGGCGGTGGACGTGGAGTATAGGCAAGTGTTTGGAGGTGGGGGGCATGGAAAGGTAACAGGATGTTTTTTACTGTAATGCAGAGAATGCATTAAGGTAAAAAAAAAGAAGAGCCTTTGGTGCTACTTTAAGGCAGAACCAGGCCAAGGAAAGAAAGCCAAAAGCTTAGATCAGGACAGGCTGGAGGTCAAGGTTGGCAGTAGTCAGAAATTTCAAACATTCCAAGTCATAACTAGAGGCAGAAATCAAGATGAGCCGAGAGACAATGCAGAATATAAGTTGATTTGTAATGAGGAAAACAGGTCTGAGGTTCGCAAATGTAACCTACCAGGTCAGGATACAGATACCTTTGATCAAATACTCGCTGAGTGCTCTACTCCCAGTTTACATACTACTGGACTGAGGCCAGGTGTACAGTTAAAGTTGAGCCAAGCCACAGTTTAGAATATTGTTTATAAGATGGTAGGCCAAGCATCTAGATACAGCAGGTTTGAACACCTCAGGCTGCAAGAGGTACAGAGCTGTGAGGTGCTTGTTACACTGTAGCATTAATTTCTGTGTGCGGAATGGAATCTATTGGATACCATCAGGCTAAAGTTCATATGAAAATAAGTAGGGATGCACTGATACCGATACTGGTATCGGTATCTGTGCCGATACCAAGTATTTGGGCGAGTACTCCCCCCCCCCCCCGGCTTTCTGATTGGCCAGAAAGCTGGCTCTATGCTTCTTCATCACCTGGTGATAAGGTAGCATGTAGCCAACTTCCGGTAATGACATGCTGCCAGGAGCCGGTAATGACATGCCACCAGGCTTCCAGGCTAATCAGGAAACCAGGCGGGGAGTCATTACACGCTGCCCGGTATCCTTAATGGGAGTACCGAAAAAAAAATATCGGTACTCAATATCGAAAAACTAGTATCAGTGCATCCCTAAAAATAAGTTTGCTGAATGAGTGCTGTTGTTTGAATCTGATAAAGTGCCTAGTATAGGTATCGGTGCATCCGTAGAAAATAGTTTCGGCTGGAGTTGGGCTTTATTGACCAGATTATTATTCACAGGCAGTTATGAAATGATTCCTCCTACACCAGGCTGTGATCAAAGTCTCAGGCTTTCATGCAAGCCAGCACTGCAGGTTGTCAGAGGTCAGGTATGGTGTTCTAACTTGCTTAATCGTAAATACATTTCTATATTAATACCTGCTCATTAAGCTGATGAAAGTTTTTAAAGACAAAGCTGTGCAGAAGTGAAATAGAATTATAGCTGATATCTTGGGACTTGTTTATAGCAAGCGCTACACAGGACAGAACATCTGTATTGCCAACAGCAAACAATCTGATGCTGGCTTTCATCTTCTGGAAACACTGTCCTCTGATGAGTCTGGGGCTCATTAACTCCTGTAATGCAAAGTAGTGCTGTTGCTGTAATGCTGATGCAATGGCATTATTACAAGTACTGTTCCTGGATGCTGCTGCAATAAAGGTCAGTATCAGGGAGATATAACTGTAGAATGCCACTTACTGTCCAAGTTTTCCTCTTTTTTCTTAAGCTCTTTGTACTTTTGCTTCTTTTCTCCTAAAACAAAAAATGTAACGATGTTACGGACACATATGGTATATAAAAGGGTGAGATAGCTCAGCCATTTTTAGTGCCAGTAATATAACAGCCTATCTTTTGCTGATATGATAAAATAGTCAACAAACACATATACTGTAAAAGACCAATAAGTAACCAATAGAAGTCAATTGGGTTTTTCCAATTTTCAACAAATATTAATATAGGAACTTTAGTGCAGAAACTAAACTTCATACCCAAATGTAAATCGGCATATTTAATCTAAGCTGTAGGTGGCTAGATCTCTACCAGTTCTGGCCACAAAACACAGCAAAATATAAAGAATACATAAAGTATGGCTAATCAATTAACTTTATGTACCAAACCATGGATATCTGATCAGTAATAATGCACCCTGGGACTGGTTTTGTCCCTTACACAGTGACAATAATATTATGTTTAAGTCAGCGGTTTCCCCTTGAGGCACAATAAATGCCTTTCATAAACAGAATGATGATACATTTTTTAATGACTCTAATGACCATTACATAGCAGCCCTGTCAGGCTAATATGACAACCCCCCCTTCCCCCTCTACCAACTGATTCCCATTTTGGGAAGATTTCCAATTGCTTTTTTTTTTTTTTTACCTCTGAACCTCCATATTTAGGACAGGAAGTAAGGACAAAGCCAAATGGGGACACAAACTACAATAAGATAGAAGTTCTAACCCTTCTTCACTCTATCCAAAGCAGTAAAAAGAAGACATGAATGGAGAATGCTCTAAAATACATTGAGAGTATTTTAGGAAGAAAATATATGTATTGCTTTAGTGTCATATGTAATAATTTAAAAAACATTTCTGCCTGATCAAAAAAGTACATTTTGGCCTGGTCCATAACGTGTAAATACTCATGAGCCTCAAAGTGGGAATCTATACTTTTTTTTTTGAGTTATACATGTGAAAATTATAATGTAAACATCCGTATCCTTGTGTGCTAATATGCTTTCTTGTTGATCGTCTTTTCTCTAAATGTCTAAAGCAAACAGTAGGCTATCTACAGTTTCGAATGCTTGGTAGCCATAGGCCATGTGATCCAGGCTGCTTAGGTTAAGGGCAGCAGAATTTTATTCATGGCAAGAAAGAGGAACTTTTTATAATCACGATTGTGCTAATTGCTAATGCTGACATTACCTGCTTATTCACATGGAATATGAATTATAATGAAAGGCTGCCATTTAAAATGTATGAATTCTAATACACTCCATGGACTTATTCAACAGACTTCTGCTAAACTGCTTCAGGCTGATCATAGCTTATAATCATAAAAGTAATTTATAATAAAAATACAATCATCTGTATTTGACAGAGACACTAGTTTACAAAAATATCTATATAACAGTCAATTTCATTTTACTGGCATGTTTTTTCTTATTCTGTAATATCTCATTTGAAAAAGCATGTGCTAATGAAATGCTGAAAAAGCACTTTGGCCAAATGGAATTGCATCCGCATCCTCTTTCCTTAATTTAGTGAATTAAACAATAAGACATTCCAGGGGGACTCGCAGCATAGATTTCCTTGCAGCTGTAGGATGTCTTACTGGCTTCCCTTCTAGCCATGCAGAAATTAAGAAGATTCCTGCATTTCCCCTCCCTTTCCCTTATCCGCACCGAATAATAAAAAAATAAATAATCAAAACAATAATGACTGTCCTTATCTGGCACATTGCTTCTTTTGTTGTTTTACTGTATATGGCACCATTAAAACCTGTACCACTTACTTAGTTTACAGGCCATTTATATCAGTCCCTTCACCTAAAAGGAGCTTATATCCCTACCACAGTCTTACAAATACACACACAAAGACCAATTTGAGAAGGAGCTAATTAATTCAGCTGTATGTTTATAGATTGTTGGAAAAAATCCCATGAAGGAATCCCATTAAAGCAGGCATGTATAAACTTCCAGCAGTTAGTTTATCTGGCGGGACTGAACACAGGGTGCAAGTGCTGTAGGAGTCTGCAGTTGTGAAATGGTCCCATTATTCGTAACTGTTGAATTTGGCAAGCGATACCGCCTGCCAAATGCAACATGTTGTTCAAAATTTGCCATGGTACGTATACAGGGTTCAGCAGCCGCTATTTTACCTTTTAGGTGGGCAGCCGGGGGAGCAGTAAAAACGCAGATCAACCAGCACCTTTTACCACCCCCTTGCCGTCCATCTGAATGAGGCCTTATAATCTTCACCACAGTGCAGCTGCAGCAGCATGGTAGAAGTCAGGAGGTAAAGCAAACAGGTTTAAACAGAGGTGGAAATCTGTCCTCTTCTGAATGCTTGTGGAGGTCTTGGATGCAGCCCATCTTGGATTAATGTCAATGTGATTTCATGGTGCTGGTGAGAAAATGTTAAGGCACCCCTGACACAGCCAGTAGAGAAAGGCTGATCTAATGAGAGGTGTCAGTTGTGAAATTATTTTCTTCCCTCCCACTGTATTGACATTTTATAGCTTTACATCTGCCATTTATTCTCAAAAGTACTATATGCAAGTGGTTGAAGCAACCCTGTCCAATTAAATAATACACAAATAAAGTTTTACATGTCCTGCAGCACTGTAATGGTGGAAAAAGAGGTGACAGAGGCATGGGAGGTAAGTATAAAAGCTCTTCTACTTCACCGACATGTGCATTTTTGTATGTCCGCCTAAAACACTTTTTTTATTCTGGATTCAGAACTCCTGAAAGGTTTTTATGGCTATCTGGGGCTCAGCTAGAGACTTGCACTCCCTTACTGTCCTGGTGTCAACGGTGGTTTAAAAAATAAAAATCTGGCAGGGGTTTTAACTTTCCCCTCCTCTAATTAAGGAAAAAAAAGACACCAACTTGTCTTATTGTCTGTGCCCCTGTTGCAGATATTCCCTCATTACGTGTTTAGTGAGGGCTCTCTCATACAGTCCTGGGGAGCAGTATTAACCTGACAGGAGTTCTAGTCCTTTCCTACTCAAAAGCCAAAAGAAAACATTAGGGCTTGAAACTTTACCTATATATAGAAACATAAAAAGAAGCGATTTCAATCTGGAATGAAACTAGGTTTCAGTACCCTTAATAGGGGCTGGAAACTTTACCTATACATGGAAACTTTACCTATACATGGAAACATAAAAAGAAGCGATTTCAATCTGGCATGAAACCAGGTTTGAGTACCATTAATAGGGGCTGGAAACTTTACCTATACATGGAAACATAAAAAGAAGCGATTTCAATCTGACATGAAACCAGGTTTCAGTACCAATAATAGGGGCTGGAAATGTTACCTATACATGGAAACATAAAAAGAAGCGATTTCAATCTGGCATGAAACCAGGATTCAGTACCAATAATAGGGGCTGGAAACTTTACCTATACATGGTAACATAAAAAGAAGTGATTTCAATCTGACATGAAACCAGGTTTCAGTACCATTAATAAGTGTCCACATGGGCAGGTACAATGTCAAACTAGCAGTGCAGGGTAAACAGGGTTTATACAGAAGAGGCTATAAGACTACAGATAATTAGTAAATGGCTTCATGACCAAAGGATCTGTTTTTTTGTGTGGAAAAGACACCTAATCTCATAGGTCTTTCCGTAGTGACCTGCACATTAAAGCCCCAAAATAGTGGAACATAAAAGCAACAAGCAAAACTGAAAATTATGTGACAATGAAAAAACTCAATAGAAGCTGCAAGTATCCTAATGCTTTAAAATACATTCAAGCAATTAACAAGGGAAAATATATGGTGAAAATAAAAAGGGACAAAGAAAGACAGAAATATGTAATCATCTATACAGCTCTTTCTAAACAGAGCTAATTTGCTTTCTAGTTGGTGGTTGTTCAGCATCATATAACTCTACAAAGCAACAGGTTCTCACCTTCTAAAAAGAAATCCAAAGAAAATTAGGAATATAAAAAACAATTACAAATGAAAAGAAGAAAATAAACGGGAAAATAGGTCAAAAGCAACAATGAGCAACATTAGAGAAGAATTACTGTCCGGTGAGATAATTATGTCAGCTATATTTATTGGATAGTTGTGTGTAAGAGGGTTTTTTAAAGTACCCCTGTCATAAGATAAGTAAGGGGTCTGCCACTAAATGCCTCCTTCTGAAAATGCCTCCAGTAGTTATTATTTGTATATTAATGTAACCTTTTAAAAAATGTGTGTTAAAAAAAGTTCTATTATTAATTAAAAACTAAAAAAAAAAACTAAGGGGCATTTCCCATCCTAAACACAAGGTCTAATAATGTTAAAACTTAATTTAGACCCAGGCGTCCGGCCTGTTTACATAGGCAAAAGTGACATCGCCTGGCCATCTCACAGGATACTGGGAAGTGGAAAACCCCAAATTGTGAGAGAAGGCGCTACCGCGCAGTGAATCAGCTTTGAAATTCCTGTTTATAGCAGCCCTGGTAGACAGATCATACAAGGGTTTGTGTCCAGCTTGGAAGGACTTTGGGACGTATGAGCTACTATATGCCTTAGGTCCTTAACTAGTTATAGATACATTCTGCTGGGATGAGACCTTGGCTACTTCTATCTAGTCTAGAATACTTCAAAACAAACTTTCCTCCAGCTCCAAAATTTGCTCCAGCTTCTTTGGTTGTATTTTTGATGAGCTAAATATAATAATTCAACAAGGAGAGTATGACTCCCTCATAATGGTCACAGCAGGTGTACAGATCCCAGAACGCAAGTGCAGAGTTCTGACCAAGTAAATTCCTGGAAGATATAAGAAATGGTCAGGTGGTTTCTCCAGCATCTATTTGAAGATGTGTCTTTGTAGTCACTTCTGGACTTTGGGCGTGCTACAACTTCATCGAAGTACTCAGAGCACATGAATCATGCCTTGTCTCTTTCACACTATTTTCACTCCCTCCATTACATTTGCTGGCAATTCAGCCTGTCAAAATGACAGCCGGGAATTGCGGTGTATTACAGAAGCAATTGAAGCCGCTGTTTGTACACACTGTACTAGAAGCTTGATTCAGAGATATAATGTAATATTGTTATATTGTATTTGCTTTGCTCTATTTAATTAAAGGGGTGACTTTTGAACCTCATAGGATGTTCGTTAAAACCACCTTACAAGTAAATAAGGACAACGTATAGATTAAAATGTAGATTTTATATACACATTTTTTTTAACCAACACTACTAATAATAGATAAACATTTTGTTACCTATTTTTTGTCTATGGATTACATAGAAAATAAAACATTTTTTGCAAGACAACATCACTAAACGAAAGCTTTGTTTGTCCTAAATGAATACAATATATGTATGACTTTAAGTAATGACAAGATTATCATTACAAAAAAACAAAACAGGCCTACAACAGCTGTTCTTGTCCATAAGAAGCATGCAGTCACCAAAGCAGGAAGTGGAAGTGGTTAAGTATAATTTTGTAATTAATGTTTTTTTACTAAAAGATTGCACACATAGCACATATGATTACTGCCCTCCAGTTAGGGTCTTTCATTATTATTATTCATCTGCATGCACTCATTGTGGATGTATTTTCTTTTGTACTGGAGGGTAACATAGTTCATATCTTTGGTACATCTAGTACATATACAGTTACATAAACAAAAAAAGACATCAGAGCAGTTTATACTACCCAACCAAGGGAAGCTGTCCACATTCACCCAAAGGTAGTGTGTATTATAGTTATTTTTGCTTTAATCACTTCAAGATCAATTGATTTGTTACAATCTATGTGGCTGTTGTTTATTGGTCACAGGATATTCCTTCATTTTGTATAAATATCCTGAAAGATTTCCTTTTTTTTTCTTTCACTGCTGTTTGAGAATGAAACTGAGAAATGTATAGGTTGTTATAGTCCACAAATACGCAGAATTTTCTACACAGTATAGGATATAGTGTAAACACTATTTCTGATTGAAAAACAGATATCAGAGATTGTTGTGTCAACTGGCAATGAGCAGCTGAATGTTCCAAGCAATTGTGTTTCACAAAGGCGGCTGGTGAATGTGCGGCAAATGCCTTCGTAAATGTGACCCAGACAATGTTTTTTTGACACTTTTATACATGAGGGCTGTTATAACACAAAATCAGAAATGCTGAAGAAAGTACATTATATAAATAGGAATTGTAACATCAATCATCGATAAGCATAGCAACACCAGTATCTAAGTAACCTGTACAGAACTTATTTAATCCTAGTCTAGTGTCTACACATTCAGTGTCTATATATCAAAATAAAATGGTACCCTGGTGCTCTTCCAAGTCCATATCCAGCCTTCCCAGTTCTTCGCTGAGTTGCTTAGCCCTTTCCTTTATATCTGTTAACCTGTTGATAATAGGAGTGTAAAAATAAGTGAAATTCAAAAATAATGCTGCATTTCATCTGTGCTTTATGCAACAACTTACAATGTAACTGCTAAGGCATTATTTTCATGTTTGAATTAAAACAGTTGAGCTATTTTCGTTCAAAGAAAAATTCATGAAAACACTGATATGACAGAAGTCATTTAGTAATTTAATATTAGTAACCAGTTAAGCTCTTCGGGCGTGTCCCATACGCACAGGCATTGAAAAGGTAAAAACTAGCTTATGGCAGTAGCTATGAGTTTTTGCTCTACCTTTCACAGCAGGTAAAGTGATCTGGGCAATTGTAGAGTGGAAGTTGAGTAATTAAATAAATAAATACATAATAATAAACAAAAAAATTAAAAGCACATACAAACGCAATATACAGACGAGTATGTAAGCTTAGGTTGTGCAACATTTGTTGGGTATGGTCATGCATGGTGGAGTTAGAGAAATAAATGTAGGTCCCTCATTTATGATTAACTCTAACCTTATAGCTGTAAAGGCATTTTAAGAGTAGCCCATTCAGGTAACATTCTTTTTTCCATTTTGCGGGCGCATGCAGTTTGGCATATTTGAATCTCTTTGCACAATACAAGCTCATCTTTTATTGTGTACAAAAATTATACTATGTTTGTATGTACTAAAATTCGTTTTAGTGTATATTTGTCTGCAAATATAGATTTGATAAATAGTTACACAAATATTGTGTTAGATAAAAGATTGCAACTATCACATTTTTTATTCTACAGGGTCTCTGCTTTCAGAAAATATATATTGTTCTGGGGGTTTTAAGAAATTTCCCAGCCAAAAAACACATTTTAATGTGTGCAAAAAATGCTCTAGTGATTACATTTCCGCAAGCATTTGAATCTGCAGCCACGTGTAATTTTCCAAAACTGTCCAAACGTTTAGAGAGGAACTTTACCCATTTTTAAAAAATAACAACCAATGCACCTTTAAAAAAACACATACTTCTAGAAAATTGCCAGCTTTTTATTTTTTGTATACCTTGTGTTTCTTTTCTTCCCCAGTACTCTGACAGTGGCCATTTTAACTAAGAGCAGGTTACTAGATCTCTCTTTACTTCCTGGAACTCTGACACATGTCACTGGGACATGTGACCATGCACATCATCTCAGGGAGGATAATGCCTTTCCCTGAGATCTCAAGAAATTACAGATGAAATTTCTCAGCAATGCTCTGCTGATGTAACCTTCCCAGGATGCAATGATTGGGCACAATTACATAATTTGTACCTAAACGGACCAGGAATTGGCTAAAGTCTACTTGTAAGTAAAATAAAAATATGTTTGTTTAGCTAATGAATGTAATATGATCTCATATCAGCATGCAGAGCTGAATGCTGACGTGATTTTTAGTGAAAGGGGGTAAAGGTCCACTTAAAGTTGTTGTAATAATGGCAATAGTATAATGTCTGGGTATAAACTGCCCAAAATTGATACGACATATATAACTGATAATAAACTACAAAATGGCTTGTTATTAACAAAATGTCCTTTTGCATTTCAGTCTGTGGCCAGATTTGATTTACCAAAACCCTCCAAAGTTGCAACTCTCCTTCTTGCCACCACAACAAAAAAAACACTGTGTTCACTATTGCCCAACAAGTCCATCTCGCTGTTCATGCAACTGTATTGAACATTTTCAAAGAAGCCCAAGGTCAAATTGCAGGCATCACATGCAAAAATAGAATTTTTGTACTCACTGTAAAATCCTTTTCTCTGTGATCATTGAAGGACACAGCCAAATCTTCAGTTAATGAAAGTGTTATACCACCACCTGAAGGAGAAGGACACTAGGCAGAAAAAAACGATGCACTTTCCTTGAGGCGGCTCCGGCTGTTGGCTTGACCCCCCATCTGCTAGAGGCAGCTCAGTTATTCACAAACTGGTAGAACAAAGGCACAGACAATCTCCACAGGGGAGGAAGTTTGTCCTTCAATGAACGTATGGTGAGTACAAAAAAAATCCTATTTTCTCTTCTGTTCACTGAAGGACACAGCTGACATCTTCATTTAATGGAATGGATGTCCCAAAGCAGTGTGAGCTGAGGGGTAGGAAACCCAAGAAGAAGAAAAAAAGTACCCACACATATTAATTGGCTGCCTGTAGCCTTTTACGGCAAAAACAGGCACCCACAGAAACATCAACCTTAAAAAAGCGAGTAACCGTGTGCACCAAAGACCAATTGGCTGCATTACAAAATGAGCTGCTTCTTGCAGATGCGGAGTTAGGCCACCAGCAGGGGCCCCCGCCATGGCTCCAGTGCTTCGCTTTTTTCTGCCTAGCGTCCTACTCCTGCAGGTGGCAGCATAACCCTTTGGCTTTGTCTTCCATTAAATGGAAGAAAAAATAGTTTTACTTTTTTGGTGAGATATTGTCAAAGAACTTGTACACATAAAGGAATACCAAGGCTGCAGATTTTCTTACAAGACTAAGACTAATCAAGTGATTATAGTTAAGGTAGACCCTCTCTTTCAGCAGTCACTGTAAGAAAGTCTCGACATGTTCTACAGCATTATCTACAGAACAGAAGTGGGTAAAGATGTGCAGCACATTTTCTAATGTCCTGGTTCACACCTAGGCGATTTGCAGCAGTTGGAAACAAGCTTTTAAACGCCCAACACAAGAAATCCCATGATTTATCTTAGAGAGTTCAATGTAAACGCAAGAAAACGTGCGGTAGAAGCATGACGCACATTTTGATGCGCGTTTTTGCCCGCAATGTATCTTTAGCTTGCCTAGGTATGAACCCAGCCTTAAACTCTTATATTGAAATATTCATAGTTCCTCTGAACAGCATGTTTTTTTTTCTTAGACGCTACATTAGACTGTCTTTCTTTTAAGTTGTTTTTTTTATCCTTTTATCTTGTCTTTTCACTGTATTTTTTTTTTATATCAAGAGTGTTAGGTTTTTTGCTCTCAGAGATGGCAGAGATATGGGGCAAATGTAATGGACTCAGGAGAGCTCAATCTAACTCAAAGCTTCAAACTCCTTATCTCCAGAAACAAAACTAGATCAGAGATGAGTTGTATACAGACTCTAAATACATTTGTATGTTCAAACATCAATAAAATGTTTTGCTGAATCTGTTCAGGAACAGCAGCACCCCGTGGTTTTACAGCATGAGGTAATTAGAATTTGACAGCATGCATGTATGCAGTTCACAAACCAGAACGGTTTATATTACAGCATATTTATTTTTACAGGGCAAGAGTTTGCAATTAGAATAATATCACAGTCTGGGAATTGCTATAATTACAATATCGTACATCAACTTGCAGATTCAAAAGTATAAAACACTTACTGTCGCTCCATGCTTGCTATCTCTTGATTATCTTCTTTGACCTATTAAAAACAATTCAAGAAAAGGAAATACATTTTGTTTTTTAGTATTGCTGAGTTTACGTTAAAAAATGGAAACTTAAACAATGCAATCATTATGTAGCAGTTGGAATTCCAAATAGTTTGCAGCACAGCCACCATTGGATGGTATGTTCCCTTTAAAGGGTGTTTTTAAAACACTGTTTTATAGTCAAACATTGCTGCAGGTTGAATTTGTATGTTGGCTGATGGTCCTAACAAAATGAGGGGATGCATGGAAACTCCTTTGTCAAAATACTTCAGAGTACTAATAAACATTTATTTGTTGGTGATTTAAGATATAGGGAAGCTTGAAAAAGATAGTGTTACTGTGCCTTTAACCCTTTCCCTGCCACCGCCGTAAGGCATAAAGCGGAACAAAACTGTTCCCAGCTGGCCAGCTCAGTATGCCTTACGGCGGTGGCATTTACAGTTCTGCTATAAGCTCATGGTCTTTAGCGACCATGAACTTATAGTAGAACTGTTCCCCGGGCTCACAAGCCGCTGATGACCGCTAGTCACAAAAATACCAGGCGCCCCACCTCCACCGCTGGCATCTGGAGCCTCTCATCTCTGTGTCTCCATGGATCCCCGCTGCTGTCCCCCGCTTGTAGGGACTGTGGCAGCGGGGATCCGAAAAAAAATCTCCGATTTGGGGGAGCGAGAGTGGCGGCTGGCGGGGAGAAGTCGCAAGTTTCAGGATGGCCGAGCGTTGAGGGGAGCGGAGCCGCCGTCATCCTGTCAGTTTCCGGATGACAGCGGCTCTGTGCGTGGCCGAGCGGGGGATCGATAAATACCATTGATATTTAACGATCCTCTGTGCAGCACAAACACTAGAGTGATCGTCTGATGTAAATAACTGGGGACACATAGTACTATGTGTCCCCAGTTATGAATGAACAGGATGTGATTTACATCACTTCCTGTTCATTCACGATTTTTTTCAACAGGGAGAAGCACTCCCTATGGAGGCTTCTCCCCATTCAGAAACTGGATGATAGTAAATATTTTACTATCAGCAGTTTCTGAATGAATGGGAAGCCTCAGTACTGAGTGCTTCCCATTCATTGAGTGCTGGGGCAGGCTGCAGAAAAAGAAATTGAGGACTCTGTGTCCTCAATTTCTTTTCAATTTCAAAAGGAAAATGTCAGGGGTCTCTTTAGACCCCAGATATTTCACTGTAGCCCCCCAACAGTAAAAAAAAAATTATTTAATTTTTTTTTTAAAATGTAAAAAAATAATAATAATAAAAAAGCACAACCCTTTCTCCCCCCATACACATAACATACACTTGCACCATATTGTGGTGTACGCCATGCACTCCAGTGCGTTGTTAGAACGCATCACAGTGCATGATTTAAAAAAATGTTTTTAACTGTGGCAGTGCATGGCCATGCGTTGTGATACCTTGTGTTGCAATTAAATATACGCCTGTGTTATTTTATCACAACACCAACACAGCACAAAAACGATACTTTTTTTAACATAAGTTGGTTATTTACAGTTTTTGAGTACCTTCATTTTTTGTAGTTCCCAATTTGCTAATATTTGTTATTTATTAACTCAATACAGTTTTTTATCTTTTAGATTTAGTCAGAATTTTTTTTTTCCGGCACTGATACTGATTTTAGTGCTTTATCAATTGAATTGTGTATTTTTATCGGTTTAATATTAATTTGAGAAACATTTGCGCAATTATCGCACGGCCTACAAATTTAGTAGCACCATCTTTTTATTCTACCGGGCCTGCGCTTTCATAAAATATATGGTTTGGGGGGTCTTTTACAAACGCTGGCAACGCAGCAGTTGAAAATCAAATCAAAGGAAAAATTGCAAAAATGGCGTGGCCAGCTGAGGTGCAAAATGTTCCGGAGGGCTTGGCAGCGAAAGAGTTAATAGTAACAATTTTTTATAAAATATTAATAGGAGCTTTCATACAAACTCAAACCATATATTTGAATGTTCTGAACCATAATCTAATAAAGTTGTTGCTTGATGATTAATAACAAGTCAGTCTAGCTTACAGCTCCATGTCATCATTATTGATTTTAGCAGCATTTCATAAATTGTGTTTTGTGACTCGATTACATTAGCCTAGCTACTTAAAAGTACCTGTTTTAATAATTTCTCCCTCTCTTCTTGTGGAGTTCCCATGCCCTTGTCTTCTGCAATAGCTTGGTCCCGACGAGCCTCCAAATTGTGCAGCTTCTCATAAAGCAGTACCGCCTCCTGTTTAATATGGGAATGTGCAATTTCCTAGAGAAAAACAAAAAAAGTGAGTTACCCCATGTAGGTTTTAATATGTCTTAATAAATTATGGTGACCATGATAAAGATGCACTCTAAAAGGCGAGTTAGAAAATGAAAGTAGACATATGATATGAAGGGAACACAATGGCTTCAGGCATGTGTTATTACAAAACAGAGCATCTCAGAACTTTGTATACAAAATAGCACGACATAAACATAATCACTCGGCTTGACAGCATTAAAGGAGAACTATGAGATGAGTGATTTCCACTCACCTCATAGTTCTAAGCCGACCTGTGACAATGAGACTGTCACAGGTCGGCTCAGTAGATCGGGAGGTGAGGGAAAACATACCGGGTTCACTCACCTCTCGATCCTGTCACGGCTCTCTGCCGTGACAGGGGGAGGGGCTGGATTCCCCTCTCCCCGCTCCGATCTGCCAGCGCTGACTGGCGGAACGGACGGGGGAGGGGGCGGGTACAGCTGGCTCTGCCTCTAGGTAGGCAGAGCCAGCTGTCACTCACGCAGCTGGGCGGATCTCGACATCGATGCCGGGATCCGCTCCTTGCTGCGGCGTCTCAGTATACTGCGAGCTGTAGCTCGCGGTATACTGAGCTTAGGGTAACGGGAGGACGCTAGTTTGTGTCCTCCCGTTACCCCAAGGAGAACTATGGGGAAAAACACTGACCCCATAGTTCTCCTTTAAATAAATCCATAAAGTGAGACGTGATAACATGTGATAGAAAAATATACTGGTCAGAGAACCCTGTTTTTGTCTAAGGAGGAGACCAATCTTCTATATTAGAAGGGCAGGACAAAGCCACTCCCTGCATCTAGTGTTGCCTTTGGCCAGTAGATGCAAAGACTGGTGACCACTGACCACCAAGACTGGCTATCACTGACTGACACAGGCACACGTTATAATGGAGATAGAAACTGACCACCAGTGAACACAGGCAGTGACCATTACTGGTTATACAGACTGACAACCACTGGGTGAAGAAAATGATGAACACTAAACTCAAGGGCAGGCCACACATACACCACTATAGCGCTCTATGGTGCTCACTCCTTGACTGTAGTGGTAGTAAGGTGGTATGCATTCCCTGACTTCAGTGAAGTTAATATGGTGGTCACTTTATAAAGTGGCCACCACATTAATTTCACTGAAGTCAGGGAATGCATACCACCTTACTACCGCTACAGTCACAGAGTGAGCACCATTAAAATCACCATTAATCCCAGAGAATGTCAACCAAGGTATTCCCATTTAATCTAGAAAATATCATCTAAAAAAACTTTGTTTCTCCACTCATTAAAGTGACACTAGACTCAGGAGTTAAATCTTAAAAATGCATTCAAGTACCTTAATTATTAACAAAAATGTATCTTATTTGTATATCACTCGGCTGTAGATCCTCAAATCATATCTGAATTGGTGCAGACACTGTCCTTCCTTCTGGAGGGTGACTACTTTTGTTCCCCATGATCCCTGTGTGTGTTATAAAGTAGTCCCCGGCTCCAAGCTCACTCCTGTGATGGACTACAATCTCAATATAAATTAGTAGACTAATTGTGAGATTGTAGTCCATCACAGGAGTGAGCTTGAAGCGGTGGCTACTTTACAACACACACAGGGACCATGGGGAACAAAAGTAGCCACCCTGCAGAAGGAAGGACAGTGTCGGCACCAATTCAGAGATGATTTGAGGATCTACAGCCGAGCGATACACAAATAAGATACATTTTTGTTAACAGTTTAAGGTACTTGAATGTATTCTTACGATTTAAGTCCTGAGTTAAGCATCACTTTAATTTTCTGGCCTCCAGCTATTAAAGCTGGCTCCTCCTTTAGGACAAGCTTGCCAAGCACTGGATATCACCACCATACACATGAGCAATAAGATATGAATCTAAACTTATAGCAGAATTGCATTACATTGCTGAATACACAGCTAAATTACAAAATTGGGAATTGTTTTACTAGCTAAAATATTTACTTGCAGTCATTTTATAACTAAAATTTCCCCCCAGACAATACAGCCAGGTACAGCAGATAATACATTATGACAACACTTCAGTGTAAGATTTATATAATAAGCTGAAGATGCTACCTTCACTGTCTGACCCAGACATTCCTTGTAATTCTCTATGTTGTTTAGTCTGTAGCAGTATTATTTGTGCAGACTGCACAGAGATTACCATTCCTCCCTTTTACACACTCTAAAGTTTTGTGAGGCTTCATACACACACTACAGCCCACTGGTGGGGAAGAGGGAGATAGCTGACATCACACGAGCAACAGAGGAAGTTTGCAGGATGTGAACTGCGTTGACAGCTTGGCATGCCAAGGTGACTCACTGGATGAGATGGACGGTGCCAGGCTATCTACACAACATTTTTACTTGTTTTACTTACTTTAGACAGCTAGGTAGGCTAAATAAGATCATTGTTTTCCATTCAATGTCAACCTCAAGGAATCTTTTTCATTTCTTGCAGTGTGTTTTTTAACTGTTGTATATGCACTACCATGAATACATGTGGAAACTACGGAAGAGCCCTGGGGCCATGCTAAAAAAAATATGAAACATAATTCTGTGTTTAAAAGTCAGAATTCTGAGTTTAAAAGTCAGAATCTGAGATTAAAAGTATGAATTCTGACTTTTAATCTCAGAATTCTGTTTTTAAAATTCTGAGTTTGAAACTCAGAATTTTTGCTTCCAAACACAGGATTCTGACATTTAAACACAGAATTATGACTTTCAAACACATCATTTTGACTTTTAAACACAGAATTATGTTTCATTTTTTTTAGCATGGCCCCAGGGCTCTTCCGTAGGAAACTGCACCTAAATGCAGCTAGAAGAAAAAAAATTTAAAGCAACCTCTCAAAAACGCCCAAATATCAACTATGCTGAAAGGCTAAATTATTAGAGCATACCTGAAGTCAGATAAAAGCTAGTAAAGCTCCACTAGTACACAGCAGCAGCACCTGGTGCCAGTGTGTCAGCTTAAAATGATGAAACCTGCTATAGTAAGCAAATTTCAACCAACTCAATAGCGAAATAATGGTGCCAAACCTTTTAATGCCTCACTAGGGGCCATCCATTACACTAATGGGCCAATAGCAAGTGGGAGAGGGCAGAGCCAAGCTTCTTAACCATTCAATTAGTCAAACTTAGCCTACCAGAGCACTCTGGGTTTCAAAACTCCTGTTTTCGCCTCTTAAGAAGAAAGCTGAAGAAACAAAGACACCTGAAAGTACCTACAATATCGCAGAGCTTTTTTTAAAATCTGGTTAGCATTATGTATTTGTACTTGCTTAAAAATCCTTCCTAGCTTCCCCCTATTTAATATTAAGAAGCAATGTGTGGATTTAGTGTTTACCATAATTAATTCTGTCTATACTGTGCTGGCAGATCTTATTATCAGCTCTAAATAACATTTGAACATTGTCTGTCCTAACAAAGGGTTTGAGATCTAGAAGCATTGTATGTCAATGAGAGGAAATTCAGTGTGTCCCTGGTCTTTCTATGGGGAAAATTTTAACTTATGGAGTGCTGGTGACCTATTTTCTTCATTTCTATGGGGAAAGACTCCCTTTCAAACTGTTCAGAGCAGCTTGCAGTCTTCACAAAGGCCTCCGCCAAACAAAAATCTTAAAAGGTAAGAAAAAAAATATTTTTAGGTATGCTGTGTAAATGGAAACACATTAGAAAAAACATATAGTGGAGTCTTCTCAAATGTGACTGCAAAAGTAGAAATACAAGGTCATACGTATATATACGTCCTATACTAATGTGGGTAATACCAAGATCACAGCTGCTGCAGCAACTGTGATCTTGTTACCATTTTTTGCATTCACATACCAGAGCTTACTTGTATGGTTCTGAAAAGGGTGCCTCCCTGCCCCCTGATGGCTATCCTAAACTTCGCTGCCCCTCGTGTGGGCCCAAGACCAGCATAGCAGCTGCTGGAGGGTGATCAGCAAACTTCCATTGGTTGATTTCCCCTCCAGTTACTGAACTTGGAAGCAACAAGAATTTTGTCACTTCCAGGTTCAGGCTGTAATTTCTCCAGCTGCAGTGGCCAGAGAATAAGCTGGTGAAGCATGATCTGTGCTTCATCAGCTTATGTGCGTTCCATAGGTGACATCAAGAGTCTAATACACGCCTGATGTCTCCATTAGAAGGACCAGTCACTTCCTCTGTGCTATTGCATAGGGAGCTTGTTATCCTCCTATGTGATAACAATAAGGTTATGTGTAAAAAAAATAAAAAATTAAATTGAATATAAAAGTACATAGACATACAAATGACACTTGTGCCACACGTTACACATCTCTTAAAACTGTATACGTATAAAAAATTATACTGAATTTGGCTAAATTAACAGTCAATAAAGCTTAGTAAAGTGGAAGTCTGGACAAACTGGTTTCCTGCACTGAATCTTTTTCATTAAACACAGCCACCATTATGTCCAGCCCTGCAACTATGCTTAAATGAACGTTTTATGTTTGTACAAATGGGTACAGGAGTGCCCTCTAGTGAAAAGATCTCCATAAATAAAATAATTTGCTTTCAAAAGGCATTTCCTTCCAATTCAATACTTACAGCCTCCAAAGCCGCCTCCTTTTCAGCCAATGAGTCAAGTTCTTCCTGTTGAATCTCTAACTCCTACAGAGAACAAATAAAATAAAATTTTCCATATCAGCTACAAAAACCTCTCGGTCTGATGATATAAAATGTTAAAAAATAAATAACCCTCATATAAACAATATGATCAAGCAGGCATTGATTTGTATCGCCTTTTCTGAGAGTAGACAGTAAATCTGTGGTTACTTTTAAGCTACATTTTGCTGAATCTGTTTTTCTGCAAATGGATGCTTCTGAGACAGCAACTTGGATACAAAAATAACATAATGTATTGCTAAAACAACACAAACCTATTGATGTGACTACTGCATGATTACATTTATTCTGGGCAAAATACTGAAATCTCTTTTCATTTACAACGGGGCTGTTATGATCTTTTGTGTATGGAATAAGCTGATTACTATATTCAAATACAATCTGTTAAAGTCCAACTCCAGGCTATTTTTTACAAAAATTTTAAAAATGTCCCCTAGCAGGTTTTAAAAGAAAACAATAGCTGTGAGTGTGTAGCCCAGCACGTCTAGTGTTTTCAAATTAAAGTGATATTAAAGTCAAAAGTCGTTTAAGGAAATGCTGAATAAATCACTTAGAATGGATGCTGCGCTCCTTGATGTTTAAATGTTTTAGTTTCCTGCAGCTGGTCCCCTGAGCACTGGTCCTGATATCCTATTTTAGGGTGGCTCCTTTCCCTTTCCGGTCCCTATGAAGCCACCCTTGTGTGTGCTAGTAAACTGTGTGTTTAGATAAACACAAAGACACAGCAAGGTAAGATACTCCCCTCCTTACTGCTCCCACGTCCTTCTCTCTTCCCCAAACTAGTAGATGGACAGCTGCTGGAGACTGCACTGTCCCTTATGATCTTGTACTGGACAGGAAGTTCAGGGAACTGGAGCTGAGAGAGTTGGAGCAGTTTTGAAATATAATGGGAGGAATTTATCAAAACTGGAGCAGAAACAATCTGGAGCCACTGTGCATGGCAACCAATCAGCTTCTCTCTTCAGTTTGTTCAGTTAAGATTTGAAAATGAAAGAGAGAAGCTGTATGTTTGCCATGCACAGCTGCTCCAGATTTTGTCTGCTCCAGTTTTGATCAATTCCCTTCAATAACTGTAAGTCCTTGGGCAAAAATGTGAAGAAATACTTTGCTGGGCAATGTATATTTGTTTGATCTGGATTCATTATTGAAAAAAGTTTGAGAGTTTAATACTACTTTAAACAAGTGCTACCTATGTGCAAAACAGTGAAAAACATGGAGGAGTAATTGAAAATTGTTTAAGAACATTTTGCACTGGGCACTTTCTTTTTTAGGACACTATTTCAGAAGATGATGGATTTTTACAGAGAGTAATCATTTTTTATAACATGCACACTTTGATATTGTACTTGTACTGTATATATAACTAGAGGGGATTTTGATTGTTACAGTTTCAGTGTATAATTTGTGACAATTGTTGTTTGATGGTTTAAATACTTTTTGCACATAGTTAGCAATTATTAAAAAAGCTGGGATACACACACAGCTTGTATTCATTATCTTCACTGATAATAATAATAATAATAATTATTATTATTATACAGGATGTATATAGTGCAAACAGTTTACGCAGCGCTTTAAAATATAAGGAAGACATTACAATTAACAATACAATTTCAGTACTGAAAAATAATAAGTACAGCAGCTTAAATTAACAAGTTTAAGTTAAGCCAGGGAAGCACATAGGTAAATGAATTTTAAAAACTGTAAAATAAACAACCAGATCTGCATAACTGTAGCCAAATGTTGACATGAGTAGGTAAATAATATATATATAATGAAAGGATAAATATTGGATGAAGCAGTTGAAACAATGATTGGAAAGATTAGAAAGACTTCATTAGAGCTAGGTGGTCATAAACACAGGGATCTAATTATAAACAAATTGCAGGGCCATATAACCTGCAAATCTCTTTGTATATCTTCTTTTCAGGTCAAATAAAAGTTTTGGAAAGTACTGCATTATGGCCACTAGATGGAGCACAGGAAATAAGTATTTATGTCCTGTGCACCGCAGATTTACCTAGTGGCCATAGTGTGGTATTTTCCAGATATTACATTTGACCTGAAAAGAAAATAAACAAAGAAAGTTTGTTTTCCCTCCATTTGTACAGAACGAACATTAACAGGGCAAATTGCATTGTGAATTGTTAATAAATAGACCCCCCAATCTCACTTCAATACAACTTCCCTACATTATAACTTTAAGATGATTTGTACACATTTTGCAAGATTGCACAGTGGATTTGTTATGGCCAGCTGAGGATCAATTCTAACAATAATGTATCCTGTCAAATAAATCATTGTTTTTAATGTAGAAACTGCACCTTTAGAAGTTGCTCATTCTTTGCTTTTGTGGAAAAGTAAACAGCCTGTTTCTCCTCTGACATATTTTTTATAATGTTTTCGGCTGCTCGCTTCTCACGTTCAATGTCCTCCTCCACGCCTCGGATAAGATCTTCTTTCCTGCAAGAAGCATGCATGACGATTACATAACAATAAAGTAACTGAACATTGTGTTTACTAGTTCTTCAGCTATTTTCGGATATAGTCAGACACCTCAGAATAGCAAACGGATGGACTAGGCAACTTTCATTTTAATGACCACTATGGTTTACTCCTTATATTTGACCGATTTATGAAATACAAGGTCCTCACTATGCAGGATTTTGTTTGGCTGGCTTTAAATGGCCCGATTCAATGCTTGGAGAAGCTGTATTGTAGCCAAAGTTGTAAATTGGTGGATGGTGCCACCATACAAACATAGGAAACCAAGGATCTTCACCAGCACACCTTGGGCACGTGACAGCTGTTAATTTATGAGTATAAAAGGACAAGATTATCAGTATCTGATGGTGTGCTGGTGAACATCCTTATTTTCCTATGATTCAATGCCTGGACGATGGTCAGGCAATTAAAAAGTCCACTTCAGATGTCAACAATCGTTTTTGCAAACAGAATTTCCATCTTGTTAGGAAATCTCTGCACAACACAGCCAATCCTTCCCTTAGAAGTAGTAAGCCACACATATACAGCTTCAAGCTGTTGTGAGAGGTGCACAAATACAGTAGCATTGAGTTTGGTTGTGTTGCTAGCCAATCGCTGTAAACTGTTGCCAAACTGGGCCAATTCATGTACACGAGGGTGATTTTTGGTTCTACAAATAAAAATAGTTTGCTTACTTTGGTTGTACTCAAGGTTTCCAATAATCTTACAGTTTTAAAAGCCACATCTAACCACAGAGTTTACCACAGTTGTAGATGAATGGGAAAATTGTTACAACCTCTGTTTAGATTTATCGTATTTAAATTACTGTGCGAGTCACAGATGGGGAGATTTCTTCTCATGTCTTGAGCCTTTGGCACCCTGTCACAGTCTGAAACACAAAGTGTGACTGGGACAAGTAGTGGGGGAAAATGGGATCAAGGGCAGCAATAAATACCTGACATGAGTTCAATCCTTTTTACTCTGCTTAAAAATACTGTTATTGTAGCTGCTTGTGCTTGCAATGGAGAGAGCTGATCAAGCGTCAGAGTGATAAGAAGTAAAGGAAAATTGCCTCAAAAGGGCACATATAGGAATATAAATTTGGCAGAGATTCTAACCCTTCCAAACGCTAATTAAAAAAACTGAACTTGCCAACATTTGGGCTATACATGAAAAAAGAAATCCATCAGGTTGAAAAGCTCCTCCAAACCCCCCCCCCCAAAAAAAAAACAACATTAAACCACAACCCATTCCACATACCAAATGTCTATTGCAATTTTATACCTTCTTATATACTTTATAAAGTGCATATAAAGCATTTTTTTTAAAGTTTCGGATAGAGTGGTGAGAGGTTAGACCCTTTGTCAAGTTTTTATAGCTGTCAGTGTCTCTGCTGGGTAGCTTGACCCTCTTTATTTTTCCTTTCAAACATTGTCAGTGTGACAGAAACCCTTCATTTTCAATTTCTCACCAAAAAACAGATACATTTTCAAACAGGGATACCTGTTCCAGTACCAACTGGCTAAGAGGACAATACCCTTCACTGTGGAGTTTCTTCCTCTTACTTTGTGTCTTATTTCCAGGACAGGAAGTGAAAGGAGATCTCCCCAACAGGAGACAGCAAAAAAAAAAAAAAAGAACTGACGGAGGGTTAAAAAGAGAACTAAAGCCAAACCCTTTTTCTTTCTGCTTTTGTCCTCTTTTGGAGGAGTACATTTGTGCATGTACTCCTGTGACGCAAAGTCAGCATCTAACAGGCTACGGCACACCAAATGCTGACAATGTTGTCGGGATCCATCCCGTTCCTGATTGACAGCTGACTCTGCCTCGCCAGAGCCAGCTGTGCCTGCCCCCTCCCTTGTCTGCCCCTCCAGTGAGCACTGCAGAAACAGGGAGGGGGAACCCCTGCAGGGAGCGGTGTCAGAGTCACCGCTCTCTGCATGGAGAAGACCGTGAGCTGAGCGATCAGCAGTTACATAACCCCCTTTAGCTCTCGATCTATAGAGCTTGCATGTGACACCTGGCTCCAAGCATTAGGAAGACTACATTTTACTGTCCCAATACCCCTCCTTTAACCCCCTTATGCTATCGAAAGCTAAAAGTTATGGCTTTACATACACTTTAAAGTAGTATTAAAAGCTGGTGTTTTTTTACCTTAATGCATTATCTACATTGAGATAAAAAACGGCCAGTACCTTTTTGTGTTCCCTGTCCCCCTCCCCTCACACACTTACCTGTGTCACCACTGCCGGTCCCTGAA